TGTTTCCTTTTCCATTCCTTTCTAGCCATAACCAAACCTTCATGAACCCCATATTTAAAAAAAAAAATTATTGTCTTGTATGTAATCACACAGGGAAATATATTTTATATCTCTGAATTTAAACACCCAATCCTACAAAAGTATAGATAAGAAAATTTTTTTAAAACCCAACTCGTAATGTTTGTGTGCAACACAAAAAGTATTACATGAAAAAAGGACAGGAAACAAAAAAGGGGGCCGGCCCCATGGCCCAGGGGTTACACTTGTGTGCTCCCCTTCGGTAGCCCAGGGTTTCACCGGTTCAAATCCTGGGCGCGGACATGGCACTGCTCATCAGGCCATGCTGAGGTGGCGTCCCACATACCACAACTAGAAGGGCCCACAACTAAAATATGCAACTATGTACTAGGGGGATTTGGGGAGAAAAAGCAAAAAAAGAAAAAGAAAAAAGGAAACATTAAGTGAATCATCCTAAAACTTTGCAGACTTGGTATACCTTATTTTTTCTCATTGAAATGACTGAACTTTTAAGTGTGTTGACACGTATTTTGGAATATAGGAGACAAAGACTCAGAGAAAGCTCATAAAGAGAAACATGGGCCTCCCAGGACAGTATGCGTAATCTGATTCTTAAAATAAATGTGAACATGTTTGTTTTAATTCCTTCTTATGACACCTGCAATCATATAATTTATTTCTTCCAGAAAGATATTACTGTTAATAAAATGGATGCCTTCTTTTATTCTCCTAATCCTGTTTGCAAAGATAATGTTAATAGGTTGAGTAAAAGGAGTTATAGCTATTTTTCTGGATCTGAGTTTTTGTATTTATCACAAATACTGCAGGCTTGGGTATGCTTTTTCCTGTTAAAAGCAGAATCTGCAAATAAGGAGATGACCCTAGGTGGAGACAGACTTTGCAGAAATCTATATCTAATCCGGCTTCGCTTTAGCACAGATTTACTTGGAGTTCCGTTCCAAAATTCCGGGTGGAGTCTCTCTTCTGCACCATTAACTAACCAAATGCTGTAGGACTCCCCAGGATTCCACAACTCACTGGCCTCCCCAGATTAGACGGTCTTAGAGTCTTATCAATAATTTGAAAAAAGAAGGCAGGCACAACAGCATGCTTACGGGAGATATGACATCCTAAAACTTCTGTGGAGTTATTTGAGGAACCACATGAGATAAGACTCCGGCCGTACTGCAGTCTACACTAAGAATCCCTGGAAGTTTGTTAAGAGAGTAACTATTTTTGTTAACTTCAACTTTTTGAGTTTTATGCCATTTTTTCTAAAGCATCATCATCTTTATGAGTCTGTCCTCTTTGAAATCATGTTTTCCCTGCTTTAATAATATGCATGTTAATTCTGTGCACTTGATTGTATCTCCTAGTTCATAAATGAAGCAAAATAAAGTAATAGGAAAAAATAGAAAACAAGAACAGAAGGCACCTGGGAGATGAGCTGGTGATTTCTAATCTCCTTGACACCCTTAGGACCGCACCTGTCAGTCATCTCCCCTCCTTCATCAGATATGTTTGAAGTAACAGCTTTTAAAATTAAGTACAAATTTAAAAGTTCTGCTCTGTGAAAAGCAGTGTCAAGAGAATGAGAAGACAAGCCACAGATTAGAAGAAAATATTAGCAAAGGACATAACTGACAAAGGACTGTCATCCAAAATACAAAAAGAACGCTTACAACTCAACAATAAGAAAAGAAACACCTAAAAAATGGGCCAAAGACCTTAAACGACACCTCAACAAACAATATTTACAGATGGAAAATAAGCCCATGAAAAGATGCTCCACATCCTATGTCATCAGGAAAATGTAAATTACAACAACAATGAGGGGCCGGCCCTGTGGCATAGTGCTTAAATTCATGCCCAGGGTTGACTGGTTTGCATGCTGGGCGTGGACCTACACACTGCTCATCAAGCCGTACTGTGGTGGCCTCCCACATACAAAACAAAGGAATATTGGCACAGATGTTAGCTCAGGGAGACTCATCCTCATCAAAAAACAAACAAACAACAATGAGGTACCCTCTACACCTGTTAGAACGGCCAAAACCCAGAACACTGACAACAGTTGGTGAGGATGTTGAGCAACAAGAACTGCCATATACCGCTGCTGGGAATGCAAGATGTTGCAGTCACTTTGGAGGATAGTTTGGCGGTTTCTTACAAAATTAAACATACTCTTACATACAATCAAGCAATCATGCTCCTTGTTATTTATCCAGGGGAGTTGAGAACTTATATCCACACAAACACTTGCACAGGGATGATTCTGGCAGCTTTATTTGTAATCACCAAAACTTGGAGGCAACCAAAGTGTCCTTCAGCAGGTGAATCGATACATAAACTGGTACATCCAGACAATGGAATATTTAGTGCTAAAAAGAAATGAGTTATCAAGCCATGAAAAGACGTGGAGGAACCTTAAATTGCTATTACTCAGTGAAAGAAGCCTATGTGAAAAGGCTACATACTGTAGGATTCCTACTCTATGACGTTCTGGAAAAGACAAACTATGAAGACAGTAAGAAGACCTGCGGTTGCCAGGGGATGAGGGCAGGGGGGATGAATAGATGGAGCACAGAAGATTTTTAGGGCAGTAAAACTACTCTGTATGAGACCACAATGATGGATACATGTCATTATACATTTGTCCATACTCTTAGAATGTATACTGCCAAGAGGGACCCACAGACTCTGGTGGATGATGATATGTCACTGTAGGTTTATCAATTGTAACAAATGCACCATCTGGTGGAGATATTGATAATGCGGGAGGCTGTGTATGGGGGCGGGGGGGGGGGGGAAGAGGTATATGGGAACTCTCTGTCTCTTCAGCTCAATTTTGCTATGAACCTAAACCTGCTCTAAAAAATGAAGTCTACTAAAAAAGACTAAGTATGTTTGTATTATTCAAGAAAAGAGAGGAAGGTAAGAAAAGGAGAAATTAATTCTGAAGAGTTTAAAATACACCCTACATTCTTTATGCTGTGCCAAAGAAATCTAGAGGACCTTAGCACAGTGTCTGAAACACAAAAAGCCATTAATAAATGATAGGTATTTAATTTCTTCTCCTCCTCCTTTCTGGCATACATTATTGGAAAATGGGATACAGATACAAAAAAAAGTTTTGATAATTAAAAGCCTGTTATTCTGAGTTCACTCAGTCTTTTGTTCAGCAAGAATATATCAAGTATCTAACGGACGATGTCTCAGCAGCTGTGGGTGACATTCTCCCTACCTAACTAGCTAACTCTCCAGATCCTTTAAATTTGTTATCTACTTAAAGGTATGAATTGTTTACCCACCTCTGTACTGACAGTGTGTAGCACAGCATTTGGAATATATTAATAAATGTTAAATTAAGTTGCATAGAAGGGTTTTGGGGGAACAGATATAGATCATTCTAATACACCTAAGACATCGAAGGCACAATTAGGCTGTACCTGTGTGTGAAGATAAATGGGACCAAAATTTATGGGCATTCATTTTAATCATTCTTTCAGTTGTGCTGGTTTTCTTTTTCCCTGTGATACAGGGTGTAGAAAATAGTTTGATTAAAGCTTTATAATCTTTTCTTAAGTCCTTGCAGCTGCAGGAGCACGTGGTAGCCACGAACAGCTAGGTCCTTCCATTGCAGTTCAAGCCATCCCAGGTTCTCACAGATATGTGCTATCTTGTGTTTCCCTCTGAGAGGTGAGGGGAAAGCTGAGTGAGTAATTGTGGTTATTTCAACTAGGCTTAACACGGAGTTCACTAACTATCTAGGGTACACCAAAGTATCCCGATGTGGAAAGGCAGAGAGGCGAGATGTCATTTAGAAACTAGTGCTCTGTTCTGGTGGGCACATTCAAAGATGTCCCCTAACTCTGGTCACCATTTTCCATCGCCCTGGCTTACAGAATTTAAAATAATAAGATAGATGATAAACTTGTTAATTTTCAAGCTCATAGGACCACCTGCATTGTCAGGAGACCAGCCGGAGCTTTTGAACAAGAAGCCGTTGACATCTCAGCGAGATACTCCATCCCTCACTGCTCCCTGACAAGACACAGCCAGAAGCCTGCCTCCTGGGAAAGTCAGAAAGGACACCAAGGGGTCTTTGCTCTTGGTGGCAAGATTTTCTCCACATTGAAATAGGGTGAAGCTACCTTAGTGTTTTAGAGGGAAGTGGAATTACGAGGCTTTACTTGTCTTTGAGCTCAGGCCAAGCACTCCAATATAGACTCGGGCCAGAACTTGACAGTTTGCTAGCCAAAATTCACATAACTACTATTTAAAAAATTGCTTGGGTTCTCAGTCTGCTATTGTCTCATTTGAAACAGCTCCCTTGGGAGCCCAGTATGGGAGAGGGGTGGAGACTCATAAGAATCTGGCTCTAACACCATACGATGACCATAAAAACTACTTCAGCTTCTCACTAAAGTGTCATTCCTCTTCAGCAAGGGACATGTTCTAATGTAGAGTAATCAAAGTGAAATCTTAAGCATTATGAGCTCAACCATCTAGAAATACAAAAACTACAAAACAGTATTTTCTTGGAAATTTAGGTTTTAGCCCAGATCTATGTGATAATTTTTAAAGAAATAAATAAAAAAATTGAGATTTAAAAGTGATAAGAACCTCTTAATACATCCACAAATCTAGAAGTTTAAGGACCAAAGATGCTGAATATATGTGGTAGAAATAAATGTGTGAATGAATGAATAAAAAGAGAAATGGAAGATGAGTTGTCTTTGGAGCAAGGAATCCTAGATTTTTTTTTTTATTGAACATCCTGCCAATAACAAGACAAAGGCCATGGAGAGAGTTGTGTATTACTCTCAGAAATGGTTTCACATCACAATGAAAAGTGTTTGCAGAAGTCCTGTACCTTGAGTGAAGCTTCACCCTTTATTTACGCAGACAGGCTCTTTGGTGTATTTATCAGTCTACTACACTCTCAGAGGGAAGGGCTCGTCTCCTTGGAATTTTCCTACCTCGACACGTGGGCAAAGGGCTGCTCCACTGGCCGTTGCTCCGACACTGGGCTCGTGAAGCACCCTGCAGCAAATAGCCGGTGTTGCAGGTGAAGTTCACGACATCGTTCAGGTTGAACTCAGTGCCGTTAGTGAAGCCATGGGCGGGGTTCCCAGGGTGACCACATGTGATGGCTATGGAGGAAGACAGGTCCATGTCATTGTCAAAAAGTAAACTGGGAATTCTTTATTAACAGATATACAGGTATGTCAAATGTATGATCTAAAGGATTTTCACTTAGTCAGATATGTTACAGATTGTATTTATATTTGGAAGGGAATATTGGCAAAAAGAAGCATAGGCTGAACCCACAGATTTTTAGTATAATTGTGGAAAATAACCAACACCTGGCAAATATACTTTCTTCATCAAAAATGTTATTATTTCTTACTCAGGTCATGACAGAATATCAAGTAATTTTAAAATATGGCAGTGAAAAACAAGAGATGCTAAAATTCTTATATTAATCACAAGTTTTGACTATTTTCCCCATAGTAGACACCAGGTAACTTAGAACTCTCATTTTGAAACATTATAAGGATTTGGCTGATAATTTAAATTGTGCACATATAAATTATTCCGATGTCAATTTAAACATCATGAAATTAGCAAAAATAAATGTGCATGCTCAAATAATATTTTTTGACAATCTTTATTGTAAGATCCTTTGAAACGTAGTGAACTGTCATTATGTCATGCCCAAAATAATAGCAACACAAATCATGAAGATATACTTTCTTGGCCCTTTCAAAAGAAACACATTACAGTCATAAAACCGATGTTTTCCCTCCGTACTTATCTTGTCAACATTTTTTCTTCTAAGTAAAGCTTTCACGCCTGAACTTTGTACATTTACCATTCACTCGCAAAGATAGGGCTTGTCACTATCCTGTAGTTACATCAACATTTCCTTTGTTTAATTCACAGGAAGATAAAGAATATATTAGGAAAAAAAACCACTGGTTTAAAATACTGGTCAACATTTATCTTTGAAGTTATATGGTTTGAGGACAATCATTACATATAATTTCACCTGTTCCTATTAAAGGAATGACTGCTTACAAAACTATCCGTGTTCTTGATGAAACAGTGACAGAAATACAAAACGACACAGAAGATTAACAAGCGTGGCTATTTTGGGGAATCTGCAGGCTCACACTCGGCATCTTCACCCTCCCATAATTAGCTTCTGTTTCCACCTTGTTTATCCTGTGATAAAGGCAGGGAAAGTGAATGAATGTATGACATCACTCGTCCTGGGATCCGTTTGAGATGATTTAACAGGCAAATTAAATGTGGACAGGAGACTGGAGGAGGCCTTGGAAGGAAACAGAATGGGAGAAGGATCAAAAAGAATTGGGGAAGGGGTGTCCGTGTTGTCTCAGCTCTTTGGAGAGTTTCGATTCTGTTTCACTCTGAAGATTAAACATGACTGTGTTGTGACTTAATCATGAGAGAAAATGTGACAAAAGGAAGCGCCTGCTGAATTAGTTCAGAACAGCGTACTTACGGACACAAACGGGAGTCTGTCCGGACCATTTGTGGTCTTGCAGGCATATCCGAACAGAAGTTCCAATGAGACGGAAACCCGGATTGCACTGATAAACCACAGTGTCCCTGTAGCTGAAGCCGTCTCCACTGATGTGACCGTTCACGATCGGGTCCGGGGACCCGCAGTGGCCAGCTAACAACAGAAGAAAAACCAACAAAAACAGTTCTGAGAATTTGTCTTTTATAAAAGTACTACATTCAGAATTTGCTTGCCTTTATTGTCAAGGGAACATCAGCATTGAAAGCATAATTTATTAGATTTTTCCCATTTTTATATGTTTTTATTTGATATAGTTTTTCTATTCTTTTTAAAGATTCACCCTGAGCTAACATTTCTTGCCCATCTTCCTCTTTTTTTTTTCCTCCCAAAAGCCCCAGTACATAGTTGTATATCCTAGTTGTAAGTCCTTTTAGTTCTTCTATGTGAGCTGCCACCACAGCCTGGCTACTGACACAGGAGTGGCGTGGTTCCACACCCAGGAATTGAACCTGGCCCCCCAAAATGGAGCACATTGATGGGGCTGGCCCTGTGGCCGAGTGGTTAAGTTCGCACGCTCCACTGCAGGGGGCCCAGTGTTCCATTGGTTCAAATCCTGGGTGAGGACATAGCACTGCTCATCAAACCACGCTGAGGCAGCGTCCCACATGCCACAACTAGAAGGACCCACAACAAAGAATATACAACTATGTACCTGGGGGCTTTGGGGAGAAAAAGAAAAAAAAAAATGGAGCACATTGAACTTTAACCGCTAGGCCATCAGGGCTGGCTCGGTTTTTCTTTTTAATTTGTTCATTTTTCTCAACAATTTTGGGTAACTTAAGTAATATTTCAAATTGTTAATGTGTATTTCCCCAATTATGGCTTCCCCATTTATTTCTCTTACTTATTTTTCTTATTGAGATTTTATGTTATTTATCTTATTCTATTTCCAAATAAAAGCCAAAAGAAAGGAAGATACACTTGGGACTAACATGGATTGGGTTTCATAACCTATTGAATATGAGTAGTAAAGAGAAGGACGACTGGGATCTCCAGCAAGAGAGACCAGAGTGTTAAACTATTTGTGAAATTCCAAAGGAAGGACAGATATCAGAAAACAAGTTCAATCTCCAGGAGGTACATTTGAGTTATGTTTGAGCTGATGTCTACGTGAAACTGGCCTGTAATCAGCTGAAAATGGAAGTCTAGAGTTCAGGGGAAAGGATGAACCGAAGAGAAAGTAGATTGAGGAGAAACAAGATTAGAGATGGAAATTGAAACTAAAGGGTGACTAAGTTTGCCCACAGAAAGCACGCACAGTGGGAAAAGATAAGGCCTGAAGATGGAATCAGGATGAACCCTAATCCTTAAGAGGAGGTAAAAAGCACCAACACGAAGGAATTGGAAATGGAAGAAGATAACTGGCAAACACGGTGTTGAATAAAGGTCAAGGGTAGGGAGCTTCCAAAGGGAGAAGGAAGGAGGACTTCCAGTTCCTTGTGAGTTGAGGGATGGAGTAGTGACAGAGACCCTGCCTGACCAGCCTTTATTCGGGCTCCTGAAACTTTTACTAGGCTCATCTGCGCATTTCCTTGTAAAATCCGCTTTTAGTAAGAACCCTGCTAAGTTGGTTTAGCAAGAACTTCCCATCCTTAATATCTGATCGCCCCGATATTTAATCAGGTTCCTCAACCCCATCATTCCTCTAGGTGAAGTCTGATCACCCTGGCCTGACTTCAGCTAGAATCCTGTGAGCTTGGTTCAGCCAGAACGCCCCTCACCCCTGATGTTTCCTCTTAGTAATTTCCCATCCATGACTCCACCCTGCACCATTGCTACAACCCACTGGTCCGTGCTTCATTTAGAGTTGAGCCCATCTCCCTCTTCTGTAAAATCCCATCATAGTGGTCCCTGTACCTATTGTGATGTCCTGAATAAAGTCTGCCTACTGTCTTCAACCAGTGTCATGAATATTATTTCTCTTTGACAGTAGCAAGGTGCTGTGTGGTACAGAGAACACTTGGAAAGGCAGCATCCAGTTTTTCTCTGTCCATTGGATCTTCTTTTTGCTCTCTGGTCCATTCTCCTTCCTCTTTATCTCTCTCCCTTTGCCTTCCCTCCATCCTAACCTCTCCTGCTCTCTCTCTCCCTTCATCGAGGATATGTAAAGAGTATGTTATTAAATCAACAAAATACGTAGTATTGGGAGTAACTGACATTAAAAGGATCTGTGTCACCCACGGTTTGGGATAGACAAGAAGAGAAAGGCATTCACTATGAGTTCCTCAATTATCCATCCAAAACTCGAAGCTTCTACGGGGAGGTAGTGATACCAGGCTGCAGAGTAACCAGTGTAGACTTCCCCTGGCCATTTACTTCTAGAATAGAGCACACGGCTGTCAATGCTTTACGCAAAGTAGAAAACCCCCAAAGCTGAGAAAACTGTCAAACTGTTGTCATGCCACACCAGGGCTTAACTTCACCATTCTGGAAGAATTTAAAATAGGAATCTATATTTCTGCTTAAGACAATGTTTAGCAGCACTGTCTTCTCCCGAGTTTGAACTGAATCTATTATCAGCAAGGTGACTTTGCAGAGGAGACAGGGAGAAAAGTGCATCAGTGGCTAGGTACCCCTGCTGGAACAACATCTCTGCCCCAACGTTCATAAGAGGTCAGGTGAAAAAGACATGCTACATCTGGCTGACTTTTTGTCACGTGGGCAGGTTTTTCATTCAGCCAGATCAATTATGGCAAGAGACCAGATCACTTCCCTCAAACCCAGACGTGATAGAAGCAGAGAACTCTGAGGATCCTGAAGTTCTCTATGAGTGGAAGAAAGACCCTCCGATGCTGTGAGTGTCGTCACAGGACACTGACATGGGGGCCAAAGAGCTCTCCCCCTCCCCAAAGGCTATCATTTGCACAGTGTCGTCTACTAGGTAGGAAAATGGCGCCATTGTTCCAATCTTGGTGACAAGGACCAGCGAAAGAGCCAGAGCTGCTGCACACAGGCTTGCCACAGAGACCTGGCCACTTCGGAGTTGATAGATAAAAGATCTAATTTCTAGAAATGTGTACCAGAAATAACACAATCAGATCTTCAAAGAGAGAGTGGTCCACCTGACTCCTGTTGTTATTCTAGATAACCTCCACTACTTTTGGGGTTACTTCTGACACCTATTGCCACTGCAGGAGGAGGGGATTTGGGGTGCATTGTGACAAAAGGTCTGCATCACTTTATGTGACCTGTTCAGTCTCACTCTTGATTTGGACAAACACGACTGGCTACACTCACTTTTCAACCTTAATAAGTATTTCTTTCAACTGAGATTTTAGATGCCAGGCCCCAAGGTTTTGTGTTTGTTTTTGTTTATTTAGCTTCAGTAAACAGAAGATCACCAAACGTTTTTTCACAGGCAATTCTGTAGCCAATATAACTACACCCAGGAAACAGAAGCACGGGTTGGAAATATTTCCATTAAGTGTGGAAAGAAAATCCCAGAGTGAGTTAAGTATACGGTCTAATTATTTTTATATCAATCCTACTCGTGAATTTAGTAATCCGACACTAATCTGAACCTGATAGCACCAATTAGCAAAGAGCTGAGGAATGAGAAAGAAGGCTATAAAATGGTAACTTTACAGGATTTTTAATTCAAAGGACACACATACACACTCATACACACACACACACAGCTTCCCCCCTTAGGAGTCCCCATTTTAAGGTCACCTTTTCTCTGTGCCAGTTTGTATCAGCACAAACACTAAATATTGGTCTGGGGATTAGAACTGAATACATTTATACATTTTTAGGAAATCTACAAATCAAATATGCAACTTTTGTATTTGCTTTGTGATTATTGGTACTTATTGCTAAAAATAAAATAATAAGCATTATAAATAAATACCCTGTACCTGTAGAAGAATTGGAAATGCAATCTGCTTTATTCTGCCCATTCCAGGCAATAACACCGACTTGGGCTAAAGTCGGGCTTTTTTGGCAGTGAATTCCGAAGCCAATTTACAAACTCCTCTTGAGTGTTAACAAACGGTCATGAAAATATCAGATGCATCAGATCCCCTGATATGTAGGGAAAGCTCTTATTAGCATTAAATCAATGGATCTGTTTAAATCTCCAGATACGTACATATTAAAGGCACACATTTGGAAACCTACAGAGGAGATTTTTTTCTCCAAGTGTAATTTCTAGGGGCAAGGCTGAGCAACTCTGCTGAAGTCAGAGAAAACGTGATATCTTAGAAAGCACACGAATCTTTCCAAAGATATGCCAGCATGGGGCTTGATGAGCATACAACAATTTGTGTTGTTAGTAACAACATCAAAGTCACTGATGCTACAAATTACATTTGTATCAAATCTGTTTGACAAGGGCAATTATTTTAAGTCATATTTGAAACAAAATTTCAGGCCAGTACCACGATTTGGGTTGTCTCTGGGGCTTTCGGGAATCCTTCATCTCTCCCTTTTTTTGTAGTTCCCCAAATATGCCATGCTTTATCCCTCGGTTGGCATACACTGCCTCCTTTGCCTGGAATTTCCTTCCCAACATTGTCTGGCTGTAAAACGTCTATGTGCCCTCATAACCTGTCCTGATCTACCCTGTGCACGCAGCCTTCCACAAACCCAGAAGGAATTACTGCTCATTTATACTCACCTCAAACATCACCCTGATTTTAGGTTTCGCTGCAATAGCAGAACCCACCTCTAGCATTATCCATTTAAAAGACCCACACTTCTAGATTTTTTGTTCTTTTGTTTTGAATTCAGCAGATAGAAATATAGTTTTTTCTTACCTATTTATCTCACTATTAGATTGTGAGTTCCAAGAGCAGTGTCATGTTCTATACACCAGCATTCAGCCTGTGCCTGACCTAGAGGAGGTGTCGGCAAAAGCATATGAATTATTTTCTAGGATCATGTCGCCATGTTAGTCCAGGCCCTCATCATTACTGACAGCAAACAGCACTCTCTCAGAATATGCTTTGTTCAGGCGGACTAAACTTCCTGCAGCACCGGGACCACCTCCTGCGCACCATTCTGCAGCCACGTGGTTGCCACTGTTTCTGAGGTTCTTAGTTTCCGGGGTGAATTTATTCCATTTCTGCTGGTGGTTGGAATTCTGCCTATGC